GAGGAAGCGGTCGGCGTGTCGTCCTCCCTGGCGTTAATCGGGTTACTGTGAGGTGTGGGAGGGTTCTATTATTAAATTTAAAACCTGGCTATATAAGATGAAGGCAGCTTTAACGAGATGAAAAGGCTTAACTGGAGTCCAATTAAATTCCGTATTACCTGTTTACGCAGCCTGCTTAAGTCCTGACCCGCACGCTGGTTTCTTCTTTAGGCTCCAAAGCCTGTGCTCTAGGCAAAAATATAAAATCAAAGGAGACAGATACCAGATCACCAGCATGTCCTGAGCACCTCTGCGTGCTCCTACCAGAGGCAGCTGCCCTCAAGTCTTGTGCTGTTCCCACAGTGGCTGCAAGGTGTGAGATGCAGCCAAAATCCTCCGGTCCACTCTTCTGGAGAGGAGAGGGCAAAAAGAGCAGGAGCTCAAAAAGGAAATACCCAGCCATCCTTAGTTTGGTTTTAGGGTTGATGGAGGCTGTGCCTGGCCAAGCAGCCAGTGCTGGTGGTGCTTCCCACAAATGGAGCATCCTCCCTGCTGCCTGCCAGTGCCTTGCACCACTCTTGGCATGTTATCTTTATTTAAAATAAGTGTTTGGTGAAAGCCAGCATGGGATGCTGGGGCAAGCTGCTCTCCTGGAGTGTGCTATGGGGACACCAGCTTGCATCTAATGGCAGAGTTACCAGCAGCAGTTGGAACCTGTTTTTCATAGATGGTTAACAGGAAGCACTGCGTGTGTTGGTGAAGCATGGCAGGTTTGGGTGGGTGGTGCCCTGCCACCGTTGTCTCACCATGACACTGAGAGCCTTGCAGGATGGGGTGCAGTGCCTAAACCCACCTTCAGGTCCACAAATGGAGATGAGGAGGAAGAATCCCTTTCAGCAGCCCCAAGTGTGGACAACACATCCAGAAAGCTCCTTGGCTTCCCAAGCCCTCTCTTGAAGGGTGCTGCCTTTTATTAGGCGGGTGCCTGGGAGCTGGGAGCAGCGACGTTCCGGCAGTGACAGTGATTTCAACCCACCTGCTTTGGTTTCTAAATTCAGCCCCCAAAACCCCGGCGGTGCCTCAGGGCTGCTGTGGGGCCGAGCGTGCGGCAGGGCGGGGGGCAGGAAACGGCATCGCCGCACCCTGCTCGCAGCAAACCCTCACGCCCAGCAAAGACCTAAACCCTGCAGTAAAGAAAGTAAATAAATAAAAGCACCGGACCGCAGCTCCTCCCAGGGCTGTGGGACAGCGGAGGTGAGTCGTGTTCCCGGCTCAGCCGGCCTGGGAAAGCAAATTTGGGTGGCACCAAAAGTGGTGGTGGGGATGTGCCGCAGGCCGAGAGCTGTGTGGGGCAGTCACACCAGTGCTGCTTCCCTGCTGCTCTTCTGCACAGTTAATACAGCAGAATAACCCGGTTTCTCCTGAAGGATTAGGTTAAGAAAACAAGATGGTTTTAACAGCCCTTTTACATCCTGAATAGACTGTAGCTGAAGACCCTAACCAGCTTTGTAGCACAGCCAGACAGCACATCTTTTCTTTTTTTCCCTCCATAACCTGATGCCAGCAGTCCTGTGCAAGTGGACTCCTATCGATAATTCAAGTGCCCAGCTCCTGGCTGTGCTGTTTTGTCCGATTTCCATTGCCTCCTGACCTCCATCCTTCTTTATTTGCAAAGCTCTACTCGCAGGCAGCGGTAATAAATCAATTAATGACTCTGATGAATCGTTTAATGGCTGACAAAATAACACTACAGTCAACAGCTTGGATCTCTACAGCAGTACCAGAAGATGCTGGTTGACTCAGGGTAGGGAGACGAAACAGAGACTGTTAGCTCAATTAGTGCAATTAGTGTGCGATTTAAAGGCTTAGACGGCATCTGCTGGCGTACCAGGCCGGTGTGTTAACTGAGAGCTTCGGTTTGGAAGCCAAACACAGTGATCCAGATTGTCATCGTTCCACTGGTTTCCACCAAAAAAAGGGGAAAAATACCGGCGTATGTGGCAGGGAATTAAAAATACATATGCGTGTTTGTGTATATAGCTATACATGTGCTCGCCAGGAACACATATATATTGATTTCCAACGTGGGGAAAATTTGCCATCTTATAAAAGGCAAATGAGCTGACATGCCAGCATTGCCAGAGCTGTCCTGGCTCATTTCTGGCAGTGGTTTCCATGTGTTTCAGTGGAAGGAAATTCAGGGTGTCACATGCCAGTGAGGACCTTCGGGTGGCTGATGTGCTTCTGGTTCAGCTCCAGCTTGGATGTGGTGGCACAGCAGTTCCATGCCCATTTTCTGCCAGCTTCCATGGCAACTGCACATTGTCTGTACCTTCACCAGGGAGATACGATGGGTTTTAGATATTCACCTAAGGAGAGAGCTTTGGAGAGCAAACTGCAACCAAAGGTCCCTAAAAAAAGTTTCTGGGAGAAACTGTTGAAAGATAAACCATACGGGACGAGCTGTGTGGCCAAAAAATCCTGGAAATGGGTGCTGGAAAGCCCTTGGGTTTGGGTGCTGATCCTTGCAGTTTGGGTGCTCAGCCTTAAGGTTTGGAAAAGTTGTTCCTGCTGTCTTTTTTGGCCTTTTTTCTTCCATTTCTGGCACACCCAAGTGTTTTACAGAGCTGCTCCAGCCACGGCTGCGCTCTCATGGCTTCGCCAGGGCTAAAGGTGCCTCGGTGTTTACCTTAGCAGCGGTGATGGGGAGGGGAATAAAAAAAGAAATAAAATGTCACTTCGCAGCCTTGTAAATCATTCATCAAGGGCTGACCAATTTGGCTCCCATCCTACAATATGCTCAGGGCACTTGCGGGTTTTTAATTACCAAGTTCTGCCAAGCGCCACATGTGCGAGGAACTTTAAATCCCCGTTTACGCTGCGAAGGCATAGGTGAGGTTTCAGGGTGTTTAACACGGAAAAATACTCTGTGGTTTTGTGGAAAAACGGGCATTTGCTTCAAGATTTTCTTTGGCTCCTCTGCTCTTCTCCCTCTGCTCCCTGTTGCTGAGGGGAGGAGAAGAGCAGCATCTTTTCCCCCCAGATCCCCAAATCCATGTTCCTCCTCACTCCCCACCACTTCGGGATCCATTTCGCTTTGGGAGATTCCCCAAGCAAAGGATTATAGTGTGCTGGAAATCTCTTGAAACCATAAAATATCACCTTGGCAGCTTTATTGCAGCGCTTGCCGCCTTGGGAGAGAAGCGTTTTGCGTGATAGAGGGTTTAATAAAGGAAATTCCAAATGGGCTCGCTGCAGTTTGGGGCTCAGTCTTATATATTTTTGCATTAAGAACCGTCATCTGCTTTGCAGAGAAACTGCAATATGTTCATGGCCTTGGATTAAGATTTGGTTTTACTTTTATAGCTGACCCACTTGGGGGGATGTAGGGAGGGGGAGAAGTGGGTTCACTCCCTCTCCCATCTATTTTTGCTGCCGTCTGATGTATAAAAAGAGCCTGGAATGGGCAGGCTTATTTTTCCTGCCAGGACGTGGTTTTTTTGGTTTTTTATTAACTGTAAAAACACTCAGATCTGGCCTTTGCTGCTGATGGGGGGAAGGCTGTTCGGGATGCCTTGTTCAGGGGCACGGGGAGGAGCGTGGCGTGGGCTGTGCCTGGGGGTGCAGGACCCTGTAGCCTCAGGGGAGATTGGTTATTCTCATGAAGGGAGGCTCTTCCTGGGGAATCAGCCTCCTGTTTGTGACACTTGCAGCTCTGAGATGCTGGGGTGGGAAAACCATCCACTCATCCAGCATGGTGCTGGCCTTCATCCCACATTCTGCACGCCAGCTCCTGCTGGAGAGCTGATGAGGGGCACAGGGGATGCCCTGGGAAGGCACAAGGCAATGATTAGTCTGGTGCTCCCCTGCCTCTGCAAGGCTTTCTGGACAGGAATAGCAAGATTGCCAACCAAACGTGGGGATCCTATCTTGGCAATCCTTAGTAATAATCCTTAATTTTCCAGGCTGCCCTGACAGCCTGGCTTCCCCCTCTGCTCACATCTTGTGGTTGTTGCTGCATCGGATGTGGTCGGGAGCCGGGGCTGGCTCGGCTGCTGTTGGGACATGGGGTTTGTTGGGTAAAACCAAGCATGAGCAGGCTCACATGTACCCCATCTGTTCATGGGATTTCCTCAGTGGAAATTTTTTCCATTATGGTTTTAGGTGGGTACGTCCATCATAAAAATTGGTGGAGGGAGTAGTTCAGCGATCCAAATCCAGTTAACACCACTGAGGTGCCTTTATAGCTGCCCTGTAACTGGAATGGGGGTCACTCGATGTTGGGCAAACTGGAGTGCACTTGGATGGCACACTACTGCTCCTAATCTCACAGGGATGTGTCACCAGCAGTGGCTTTTAAAGATCTTTTTCTTATTTTCCTTCTGAGTAGGATCTTGCCCAAGCTGGTGCTTTCCCAGAGAAAGTGGATAAGTACAAATAGGAATGCTGAGAGGAGCAAGTGGGGTGTCCAGGTATCCCACGTCAGTCCCCGTTCCTCTTTTTGGGGCTGGAGCCATGCTGGTGGCTCATTCTGGGGAGGCACGAGGGGAAATGTGACTTTGCAGGTTGAATGCAATGAATTTGGAAATTAATAATAAAGCCTTGGCATGCTGGTGAGGTCAGGGAAGTGTAATTTTTGAAGGAGAGGGCTAAACCAGCGAGCATGGTGGGGAGGTGGAGAGAGGCATTTTAAAAGCTTTCAAACAGCTTCTGCCTAAAAATTACACATTGGATGAGACTCCTTGATGGAGTAACAAGACTCAGTGCCTGGGAAGATGAATAAACAAACCCCAGAATTATCTCCAGGTTCTGTGTGGCCACCTCTTCTGTGGGTGAGTCACAGAGTCCAGTGCCCCTCCAGCTGCGAGCATCCTCCGCCAGTTCCTCCACGGGCGAAGATGCTCAGGGCTCCGCAGATACAAGGCGCATTGACTCAGCGTGATGTGGCAGGAGAAGGTGGCATTTTTAACATGCTTTTATCATAACTCTGACCATGTTTTCCCTGGTTTTGTTCCCCTCAGAGCGCAGCTGCTGCCCCGAGTCCCGTGCTTGGAAACATTCCCCCGAATGACGGGATGCCCGGGGGCCCCATCCCGCCCGGGTTCTTCCAGGTAGGCTGCGGCTCCTCCCGGCGCTCCCTCCACACCGCGCACGTGTTTGCTTTCGCTCTGGGTGTCAGCGCTGTCCTGCCTGTGTTGGTTTGTTTGGTTGGTTTTTTTTTCCCCCTCCCCAAGAGGATGCTAGGGAAGCAGCATGCCTGCACAGCTGACCTGTCTAGGAATAACTTGTGTTCTGCTGTCCTTCCGTGTTTGCTTTCTATCTTTTGTGGCCTTAAAGCAAATTCCTTGCTCGAAGAGGTTACTGTGTATTTACAACCGATGTTTTTTTTCCAAAGCTGCTTGGTTTATGTTTGGGTTGGGATTGTATTTGTTATCCAGTCCTAACAGACGTGTGTAATTGAAAACATTCTGGATTTTGATTCCTGAAACTTTTTCCCCCTCCTCTGGTTAACCACTTGATTTTTTCCAAATGCAATCACTGAATGCATTAACAAACCCTGGCTGCGGCTGCAGGCAGGAGTGGGCTCCAGCCAAATCCCTGAATGCCGTGGAGGCACCTTGTAAGCAAATACCCAGCAAAGTCCCCAAAGTCCCCTCGCTCCTTCCTTATCCCACAACAAGCTCTGACAGAGGAGCTGTTGGAGTGTTTGGAGTGACGCTGAAAGGATATCAACAGGCACAAAGAAAAGGAGTTTTCAAGCCCTGAACCTTGGGGGTTTTCTCAGGAATCTCTTTGCCCGGAGTGAGCTGCACTGGTTTGCAGCAACATAAGCTTTCGGTGCTTTAAAATCCTCCTGCTTGAGGATGAAACACTTGCTCATGTGAAAAATGGGATAAGAGTTGAAAGGAATATTTGTTTTGGCAAGCTGGGCTTTTTTTTAATCTGGGCTTGTGATTTGTATATGGGAGAACTTCTCGGGCAGTAGACAGGCGAGCTCGATAAGGAGCTTGTGATTTATTGTGGCGATATCTGAGCCTGATATCGGCGATCGCGTTTGTGTGGGAAGGGGGAAGGAGGGTCCTGTCTTTTTTGAGAGAGAAAGAGAGATCCCATTTCCTGAACATGCTTCTGACAAAGTAAGAATATCCGATATTGATTGGGAACCCTAAAACAGGCGAATCTCGCGGCAGCGCTCGGCGGCAGGGGGTGAAGCCAACGGCGGAGATGCAATCTCGCAGGTCATAGCTGCTGCCAGCAATCCCAGTGCCAAGCTGCTGCTTCCAACAAATGTGTCTCCAAAACGTCCTGATCTCGCCCCACGGTGAAGCTGACTGTCCTTTGGGGCTTCTGCTTCACGCCGAGCTGCGAGGGCTGCAAAACTGGCATGAATTTAGGGCAAGGCATCGAGAGTACGGGTTGGCTTTCCCAGAGTGGGAAAGGTGAGGAAGAGGAGTCACATCTCTCCAGACTTACTGTTCATGTTGCTGTCTCGACTCTTCCCGTTGACAGCCTCCAAGCTGTCCCCCCTCTTTACTTTCTGCCCTCCTGTAGCACTTTGGCACTGAGGGTCTGATTCAGGAGAAAACAGCCCATCCTAGCTCCCTGCCTCCTGTGCAGCTGGCCCAGGAGCTGCTGGGGAAGGGGGTGGCTCAGAAGCAGGAGTGGATCCTGAAACCCCAGACAATGTCATAACACCAGTACAGGTTATGCTGCCCATCCCCAGCACTGCCAGAGGGAAGAGAGGATGGGTGCCGGTGCATATGGCTCACATGTGACATCTCAAGAGCCTGCCTTTCCTGAAAGCCCTCCAACATCTGGTTTCTCCTCCCAGCCCTCAGGATGGAAAGCAGAAGAAAAATCCCACCTTTTAACACAGTCTGAACATTGCCTCCATGAAAGCCTGTCTGATTTATTGCGGGTGCTGGAGCTCATTCCAGCTTCAGGACATGCTGGAGAGCAGCTCTTGCAGAGGTGGGCTGGAGGCTCAGTGTAGAGCCGGTCACAGCTCAGGGGTAATTTCCTATCTGTAGGAGATTAAAGTGCCTAAATCCAGAGGGCAAAAACAAAAAAGGTCACAGAAGATAGAAAGGACTTCTCCCCAACCCTTGGTATACCAGCCCTGGGAGTGAGTGAGGTGGTACCACCTCAGCCAGTGCCATCCTCATGCCAGGAGAGCGCTGGAGAGGGCTCAGGAGTTTTCAGCATCTCGCTCTTCTGCACCAGGGACCTGCAAGGGATATCCCCAGGGGTAGCAGGCATGGGCAGATAGTTTTTGAGAGGATTTAGAGAGCCTGATCGTGTCCAGGCATGGTGGGGAGTCACACAGGGAGCTGAGGAATGAGTCACCAGCAAAGTTCAGGTAGCAGAAACTCTGCACAGCCACCCTGGGGGTGCGTGAACCCCCCCAGCCCTGCATGTGAGGATGTCCACCACAGGCTGGTAAAGGTAAAAAATTATATGGACCATTCCTGAGACTTTGTAGCCCAAACACGTGTAAATGAGCTTGGAGAAGAAGGAATGCTCCAGGAAGGGGAGAAGCAAGGAGGACTCCAGGCTGCAGCACCCATCCACAGCCACTGCCTTGTAGTGAGATTCCCTTCCCAGTGCCAGGGCTCAGCAGCAACCTTCAGACCAGGGGCTAAGGGAAGTGCAGCCTGCAGGATCTCCCAAAATGATGGGAAAGGAGAAGGCCCATGGTGCTCTTGGGTTTCTGGGGCATTTCATGGTGCCAGCCAGCGGCACAGCATCGGCTGCGCTCCGGACAAAAGGTTGGCTGGGTTGACGGCCAGCATGGGTAGATGCTTTTATTTAAATCTCTCTCTTTGTCCCGTTGAGATGAACAAACAAACCCTCTGCTCATCCTCCTAAAGGTCATCAGAGGCGTTTCTGCTTTTGTTTTGAAAGCTGGATTGATGCCGGGGTGCAGATCCCTTGCAAGAGGGACGGGGGAGGGGGGTGCCAGGGAAATATAGGAAGGAAAACAAAAAATTGAAAGCAATTAATACCACACATCTATACCACTAAATAAAGGCAGGGGGGGGAGTGTCAGCAGCCCCCCCAGCCATGCCTGCTCTCCCCAGCACAGAGTCCCCTTGCCGCCCCGTACCCCGCGCTGATGAAATGGAAAGTTGACCATAAATCAATGTCGGCGCTGCGTTAGCTATGCATCAGCGGCTCGGCGCCGAGATGCACCAAAACAAAGCACCGGCTGCTCCGTGTTCCCACACTGCCCCCTAATGCAGACAGACCTCGGGAGCTGGGGAGGACCGGGGGCTCCAGAGCCCGGGGGGCACCCCCCCACCACATCCCCTGCCCTCCCCACCTCTCGTCCCCGCGTCCTGGGGACCTCCCTCTTTGGGTGAGGTCGCCCGTGGGGTGAGGATGGTGAAGCCAGGGACAATGGGAAGGGGTCCATATTGTCCTGCTCCCTCCTTGGATGCCACCATTTTCCCCCTGCTGTCCTGATGTCTCAGAGGGATTTCCCACTGCTCAGCGAGTGCCACCAGCTCTGGTCAGACAGTTCCAGTGAGGCAGCACAAGGACCATAAAACCAAGCTGCTCTTCCCAAAATCCTGGGGTAGAACTTAGTACCAGCCTGCACCAGGCAGGGTTTGAAGGAAGGTAGCCTACAAGCTGGAGGAAGGGAGAGAAGCAAGCATCAGAGAAAGTTTTTTTCTGGAAGTTTAGTAGGATGCCCGAGGCTTTTGTACCGAGCGTCTGGAGCATATGGTGGGATTTGCAGTCAACTTTCTCTCGGGTGCTCCAGCCAGATGGAGGTGACTGTTCTTGGCTCTGGCTGACACGGGTTTGTTTCCTGAAGAGCTTGTGTTAAACATATTCCTTAAAACCAGGCTTCTGCAGTTGGGAGCCCCAGCTGCAGGCGAGGCAGAGCTCCTGCCCACGACTGCCTTTCGCTGTCTGCGGGGGAACTTGGCCTGCCTCCCCTCGCCTCGCCTTGCTGCCTTGCCTTGCCTTGCCTAACCTCGCCTTGCTTTGCCTTGCCTTGCTTTGCCTTGCTTTGCCTTGCCTTGCCTTGTCTAACCTCTCCTGGCCTCGCCCTGCCCTTCTGGGGTAGGTCCTCACCCAGCACCCCATGCTGGAAGTCAACCGGGATCTTTCTTGTTGAAGGCAACGGGAGCATCTCTCCTAAAAGCTCCTTCAGAGATAACCTCTTCTTTTTCTTGACAACTTGCAAAATATCTCTCTCCTTCAGTAGAAATAAATCTCCTCTCCAATAAACCCAGGCATGGCTTTAATTAATATCCATCTAATTTATTTTAGTATTTTCTAACGTCAAAACTGGCAGGCAGGGGCAGGTATTTTAAACACAAGATGCCTCCCTATTGCTAACTCGAAACCATCGGTGTCTCGTGGCAGTGATGCTTTGCCTTCTCGTACCATCCTGCCTTGTTCTGCCACCCCCAGAGGTGCTTGAAAATGTTTTTAAATAGCAAAACTCCCCCATTAGCTGAAAGTATGTAGCCCATAAAACATGATCCATTTGTGGTGAATTACGCTGGAAACATAAATTGACACACGCAGAGCTATGATCGCTCGTGCCATTTTCCATCTTTAATATTTTACAAGAAGTTTGAGGAGTCGAGCTCATGAAAGACAGAGTGGAAATAACCTGATCTCCTGGAAACTCCCTGTAGGAAGCAGCTGTGGCAGCAAACTTCGGCTGTCCAGTGGGCCAGGTTGGGCTTTTAAAGCCTCTGGAGTGTAGAGGGGAGGAAAAAAACTAAGCAGAGTGGAAGTTGGGGCAGGACAGCTGTTGGAAACAGTTTCCTCTAACAGCATTTTAGCTGTTGGGGTTGTTCTTTGAGGCAGCTACAGGAAGATGAAGAATAACCCTACACAAAGAGTGTCCAGTTTGGGGGGGAAAAAATAAAAACTTGAGGGATTATGGGGTTTCTCTGGTTGGGGAGGGTGCTGGTCTGGAGATGAGAGTGAAGCAACTGCAGAGCAGGTCCTGCTCACCCAGCATGACGTGTCAGAAGGAGCTGTGCCGCAGGGATGCGACTCCAGGGCTGGATGGAGGGATGTGGAGGAAGCAGGACAGCATGTGTTCAGCCTCCTCCTTTAACAGGAGTAGTTAATAACTGCTAAACACACATTTTTTTTAAGAAAAAAGGGATGTTCTGTTGGTTGGAGCCCACATGTCATCTCTGCAAAACACTTGTCTCAACTGCCATGATCCGTCGGGATCATCTGCTGCTCCCTCTGCAGCGAGGCAATCCCGTGCGGAAAGGCAACCGCTCCAGCAGGCCTTCCCAGCCCAACACGGCTCCCAGCCCTGAAACATCTGCAAATATTTATGGAGATAACACTATCCAGAGGGGCTGCATATCTGACAGAGCAGGGCAGCCGTGCTGAGGGGGCCGCAGCAGTCGCATCTCCGAGCGAACATTTTGGATGCTGCTGCACACAGAAAAAGGAAGAAAAGAAGGAAAAATTAAAAAGCTGCTTTCTGCTCCTCCCTGCCTGCCAAAACGTTTGCATGAGCTGGGCATCTCCTTATCCAGAAGTGTCCTCTGGGAATGGTACCACATGGGATAGAGCAAGGATGGTGCAGCGCTGAGCCTGGAGCGTCCCGGGAGCAGCCTTGGTGTTGGGACAGGAGCACGCTCCAGAGGATGCACTCAGAGCACAAACAACAGATGCTCTCTGGGTCCAGCAGGGGATTTTTCTCTGGTGGAAATGCTGCCATGTCCCATAGATGCTTTTTCTCCAATAATCAAGCGGTGTTTGCTCTCCAGCTCAAAATGCAGACCCCGAACATCACCTTCAGGCCTAGCCAGGGTGCTTTAGGTGGCCATGTCCCCTGCGTGTTTGATACCTTTTGACCCCACACCCTCACCTGCTGTGGGATATGAGGAGAAGGACATCAGTACCTGGACAGCAGTGACCCCCTCCTGCAGCACAAGGCAGGCATCGTGGGGAACGCTGGCTCGTGCATTGATGGGGCTTGAGGTTTGGCCTTTGCTGGCCCTGGTTTTTACCTTCCACTTGGTTTCATCACTCATTCACCTCTTCTGATCTTCCCTACCCCAAATCCTCCAGCTGAGATGTGTAGGAAGGGCTTTGGGGGTGGCCAGACCTTACTGGGGGATGGTGGGAGGTGTCTGCTGCCCCTGCTGCACTTTGCATTCACAGACAGAGTTAGCAACTCAGAAGCAAAAATAAGTCAACTTCCATGCCTGGAGAGGACTTCTGCTAAAGGAGGTTGATGCTGCAGTTGGACCTCAGAGGTTTGTCTTCTCCGCTCTGGTGGGACATGGATGGAGAAGGCAGGGGGGAGGCTTGTCCTGAGGTGCTGTGACCTTGTCCAGATGAGGTTGGCCAGGAATTAAGGGCAGGGGCTGGTTCCTTTTGGCTCCTGGAGAATAAGTGATGGGATTTCAGTGGCTGGAGCAGAGAGGCTGGCAGGAGGCTCTTGGTTTAAATCTGCTTGGCTCCATCTCGCCGCTGAACCATTCAAATAAAAAAAAAAAAAAAAAAAAAGAAGAAGAAGAAGAAAAAACCCACCCTCTTACTTTATTTACATTGCACTCAAGTTTCCACCATACAAAAGATTTGCAGGTGCAAATATGTCCTGCCTTCATTAACTTCCCCTCCCTTTTTAATTTATGTGATTTCAATTTTCCTTCCCTGTACTGTTAATTAGGGGACCCTCTAATCAGTACCATTATCACAGTGGTATTCATGTTTAGGAAAGCTGCTAAACAAACGCTTGCAAAATTGCTAAATGGCTAATTAATGTCTGTTAATTAAGAAAATTGCTCATGGTAACAAACCATGCCATTGCTGGCAGCAGCTAGAAGGCGAACACTTGTTGAAATTAGTAACGAGGCAGGTAGAGAACATCTGCTCCGGCGCCGGTCCTGGAGCCTGCCGTCTCTTCCCATCACCTACTGACAGAGCTCCTGTGCTTTCTCTACCAATTACACTCCCTTTGACTCCAAAAATACTTTTTTCTTTTTTCTTTTTTCTTTTTTTTTTTTCTCCCTTTTCCTCACGTTAACACGCACCGGTATATTTCTTGCACCGAGCTCGCGGTTTTTTCCAAGCAAATTTTCATTTCGTGCTTTTAAGGGAAATTTAATTTAAAAAAAAAAAAAAATTTAAAGTGGGCGTTCAAGCCCAAAATGTCAGCAACTGCTGCATTGCAGCCTTAAACCTGCACCAACTAATCTCTCCTTTTTTCCCCCTAGACATCCTTTCTTTGCTTGCAGGCCATTTTACTCGCATCCTTAGGGAATCCACCTCGAGGAAGGATGTTGCATCCCTTCAGTGTGGCGGTGCAGCCCCGGCTGTGCCTGCCAAACGCTGCCCAAGCGTGAGCTGGGACGTGCTCCTCGTCCTCCACGCTCGCTCCAGCGCCTCCAGTGAACCACGGTCAAAACACAAACCCGGAGGTGTTTCTAACCTTTGGGATGAGAGAGGAAAAAAAAAAAAGATTTTTATTTTTTAGATTTTTTTTATTTTAGATTTTTTTTTTTTTCCTTTTTTTGGTTTGGGGGTGGTTTTTCTATTTCCCCCCAACCTCTCTGGTCCTCTCCTGCATATTTTTTTTCCTCGTTGCACGCCCCTGCGAAGTGTTTCCCTGTGTGTTTATCATTGCAGACTTGGTTGAACCACTGGACCGTTTACTCTCAATGTGGCCACTGTATTTTGACAGATGTTCTGATTTTGAATATATACTTTTTTTTGCCTATATCATTAGTCACTGTTCAGCTGCAAATGAATAGAAACTCGATTTTAAAAAAAGGAAAAATAAAATTGATTTAAAACTGGGAGAACTGACTCCCCAACTAAACAGGTCCACCCGTGAATCCTTTTTTTAGCTCTTTCTGCGCTTTCATGTGCTAATCTATAACCTCCTTCTACTGTCTGACCTCACAGGGACCGCCTGGGTCACAGCCCTCGCCACACGCACAGCCTCCACCCCACAATCCTAACAGCATGATGGGACCCCACAGTCAGGTAAAGACACTAGTGATGGGTAGGGCTGTGAACTGGGACGTGCGCTCGATTTACTTCTTTTTTCCCCCTCTGTAAGCATGCTGGGCAGCGGGTACCCGCTCCCCGGGGAGCATCCCCCCGGGCACCCCAGCTCTGAAGCAAAATGTTGGTTTTTTTCCCCCCCTTTTTTTTTTTTCCTTTTTTTTTTTTCTTTCTCTTTTTTTTTCTTTTTTTTTTTTTTTTGTGTGTTTTTTCGATATGCAGTTGTCAATGGACTGAGAAGTCGTGGGTATCAGACTGTTTTACCTTCCCAAGGTAGCCTGAGAAATTTAACTTGATGTGGGTTTTTAAGCTTCCGTTAGTAGCAGCAGTTGTAAAAAGAAGTAATGTTAAGACTTTCTTCTTTTTTTTTTTTTTTTTTCAGTACTTAGCACTGGGGTTTTTTCTGTGTGCGTGTCTGTATGTGCTTATTTGCCACTTTTTTTAATATATATCTCTATATATTTAAACTTGAGCATTATCTAACACTCAGGGTTTCCCATGCACTAATTTTAACAGCCTCACCTAGTATTGCCGATGCCAAACACGCTCTCAAACAATAAACCTACAGAGAAAATGTCTAAAAAAAACGGACTCCAGACACCTTTCTCTCTTTTTTTTTTCCCCCCCTTTTGAAACGTGACTTTTTTAAAAAGGATGTCTCCAGAAAAAAAAAAAACAAAAAAAACCACCAAAAAATACCAAAAGCAGTATTATTTATATACCAAAAAATACCAAAAGCTAAGCAGCGTGCGTGGGGAGCGTGCTGCCTCCCCACAGCTCAGCCCTGACCCCCTTTTGTGTCCCCACAGCCGTTCATGTCGCCGCGCTACGCCGGAGGTCCCCGGCCCCCCATCAGGATGGGCAACCAGGTACTGGGATCCTGGATTTCCTAGGCATAGCTGTTACTTGGGAAGGGGGATGAGGCCCAGGTGTCCTGCAGATGTTCCTTGGGTTTGGGTGGCAAGCATCACCTCCTTGGTCACCCTCCTTTTTCCTAGTGCTGGAGCATCACTTAACGATGAGAGTTTAATTTTATTTTGAGGTTTGGGCCCATCCAGGGTGGAAAGAGCAGTGGGGAATGTGCTGCTTTCCAGCTGTGGTGTTCCCAGCAGGGCTGTGCCATGCTGTGTGCTCGCTGCCCAGCTGGATTTTCCCTGCAATCGCAGAAAATTAAAGTGATGGAGATAATCCTGCTGCTGGGTTGACCGAGCGTTTAGATCAGCAGCGGGGTCAAGCAGGGCAGGTCACTGCTGAATTTTTTGGGTTGGGTTTATCCTCTTATCCCAGCTTATACAAGGGCAGTTTGTTTCTGGCCTTGCAGACAGAGACTTCCACCCCACGCCCTGCCTGGACGCATGCATGGCCTTCGGTTAGGGAATTCATCTCCTTGCCAATGATGCCATGCAGATCCTTAGGGTAATGACCAAGCCAGAGGTTATTTATCACTAAAGGGAAATTAAAGGAAACCTGTAACACCTTGGAGCAGCAAAGGTTCAAAAATTATCTTGGGAGCTTGTTTTTTTGGCTATCAGCGTTATTTTTCTCTAGGTCTAATTAGCAGAAAGAGCAGGATAGTCAGAAAGTTGGATGTACCAGCTTACTCTGGGTTTGTGCTTGCTGGTTTTGAGACTTGAATCTTTGCATCTTGCTAACTGATGCTGAGAGAGCTGAGATGTAGCTGAGAAAAACCCAGAAGAGGCTGATGAAGGACCCCCATACCCAGATGGCTGGAAGAGCCTTCCACCCAGGGCACTGATGGATGATCTAATGAGGTATTAATTCACTGCACCTCCTCATGGGTCAGTTTTCACAGGACCCCATCCTGCAGTGGTTCTCAGCTCATCCCAAGCTCTGCTGGAGGTGAGCACAGTGAGCTGGGCAGGCAGGAGAGGCAGGGGGCACTGGTTTGAGGAGGCTGTTCCCACATCAGGATCAAGCGTCCAGGAGTGAGTAAAGTTAATTAGAAGGATTTCATTTTTTTTCCCCAAACACCACATATAAAACACATGCTTGTACCTAGGCAGAGCTCAGTGAGGTTATGGTCACACCCTGGGGGACAACAGGAATAAATAGGCAGGCAGGAAGGTCAGGCAGCAAAAGTGTAAATACCCACCTCTGCAACCCTCCTGGTTTATCTCCCTCCTGTTGCCAGCTTCCAGCCTGCAGAAAACTTGGAATTGGGCTGATTCTTCCTCAGCACAGCCATGTACAGCCCTGCCTGTGCTGTGCTCCAGCACTGGGATCCTCAGAGTCAGCATCCAAGTAAAAGGCAGCTCCATAGCAAAGCTGTTTACAGTTTGCTTCCCTCAGGCAGACAATATCTGCATTTTTCTTCCCCTTTATCTGTTTGGAGTAGCTTTTGAAGCTTAAATACCAGCATTGCCCGAGTGGAATGTGAGTTTGGGGAGGAGAAGCATCCGCCTTCCTCTCAGCCTGTGCGGGGATGGGTCCCAGCCTTGCTCTGCTGCACATGGAGCATCTCCCCACCACAGCCCAAGACTCGCTGCCTGGTTTGGCCCTGGTGCTGTGTCTTACCAGGGTGCCATGCTGCTGGTCACCTTTCCCTGCTGGATTTGGCACCACAGCCCCGCTCAGCCTGGGTTTTCCCCTGCTTTCCTAAAATACTAAATACTACAGCATTTGGCCTGGGGGGAGGGGGAAACGCCTTGTTTGGGGTTTAGAAGGGATTTGCAGAAGGATGAGGGAGGCAAACACCTGGAGGCTGTAGCAGTGGGATGCAGGGGGATGCAGGATTTGTTTTTTTAATCTCGCTCCCTTGCTTTCACAGCCCCCGGGCGCTGTTCCCGGTACACAGCCATTGCTGCCCAATTCAATGGATCCCACGCGACAGCAAGGTAAAGCCAGCAGAGGAGGGCCAGGCACTGGTGTTCCTGATTAGCTGTTGCTGTGTAACACCCCTGCTTTCCTCCCAACAGGGCACCCTAACATGGGCGGCCCCATGCAAAGGATGAATCCTCCGCGAGGGATGGGCCCCATGGGTCCCGGTCCGCAGGTAAGCCCCGTGCCAAAGCGCATCCTACAAACCATGGGAACAACCTCCTGGGGCTCAGAGGGCTGGGAGTTCCCCTTCCCCCCACACCCTGTCCCCCCATTAGTGTTAATGCGTTTTACATTAGTCTTGCATCTGGAAATCCCTCCTTTTAACAGGAGTGAGGTCTTCAGAGCTCATTAAGGGTATTGCAGCCTCCCTCCTGCCCTTCTGTCAGAGGGGATGGCACTTAGCTCCGCACCGGAGCAGCCTTTGAGTGCATTACACCGCCTGCCTGGGAAACAGTTACGACCCTAACTGCAGGAAAGGGAAAGGAGGCTTCCATTTGAAATTAATAAATAAAAAGAAATGGCAAAGATCCCTTTAGCAAAGGGAATAAGGCTTTCCCCCTGCGAGGTTCCCCTCCACCTGCCCCTCCTGCTGCCGGCTTGAGCTCTCTTATTTCAGGAAAGGGGAGTAAACTCTTGAAATTAAGCAGATCTGGGTTAATATATGCTGTCGTTCCGTTGATTCACTTTATGGAGTGGCTTGTTGTTGACTCACTCCTGTTTGTTCCTTCTACGAGACTTCAAAACCAGATTACCATATTTTGGTTGGAGGTTTATCCTCTCTGCATCGTCGCCTACGTGGAGTTTGTAGCGCGAGGATCAGAGTCTGTCAGGAGACGAGCGGGTGCGCTGGAGTTTTGTTTTGTTTTTCCCCCGGAGACTGTTGAGATAAGTGAATGTTGTGTAAAGAGGGAGTTGTGTCATGTCTTTAGCACCAACCTGAGGATGTTGCTCAGGGGTGCTTGGCCATGCCCACGGGCACCCGGCTCCATCCTAGGGCAGGGGACAAAAAAAACCTGCGCGGGCATCGTTTCACAGGCCAGCCCTCCCATAGCGCTGCTGCCGTGCTTAAAATCCTCCTTTCCTGGAGGATTACACCCAAAAAGAAGGAAAAAAAACAAAGGCATTTGCAAGCGTGGCCTGCGCCAAGGCGAGCGGCGGCGGCTTGCCCGGGGGAGGCTGCTTCCCACTTGCAGAGCTCGCCGCGAAACTTGGAAGCGGCGAGCGCGCGCTGAGCGCCGCGTGGGATGGCGGCGGCTCTGGGAGCCGGCAGGAGTTGTGAAATGTTCAGAGCTTTATTTTTGACTCCACCATTCCCTGTGTATGTACATTAGGGAGGGGTTTTTTTTAAGAAGCAGCCTTTCCCTGGAGAAGCGCTGGGCTTCCCAATCTGGCACCCGCAGGCGCTGCCTCCCTGCAGCCGTCCAGGAATCGGCGCCTGCGCAGGCAGCCACCAAAAATACCGACCCAGACCCAGCAGTCCCTCACACCTTGTGTGCCCAGGGCTTGTTTTCCTTTAAGCTTTGCTTTGGGACCCTCCTAAACACTTCTCAAACGATTCCAGAGGGCTGCAGAACATCCAGCCAGGACATCCCTGCGTCCTGACAGCAGCTCCTTATTACACAGCAGTGATGAATCATCCCTTTCAGCTGATTGCCGCTGCCTTTTTCCCTCTAAGAGTCCCATTCGTAGCTCTGCAGAAGCCAGGACAGGGTTTGCCAGCGCCAACATGAAGAGGGTTTGTAGCTCTCTGGGTTTTGGTGGTGCCTTGCCCAGGTCGCTCGGCACAGCTGCGTTCCCTCCTCTCCCTCCCTGAGCATCTTTCAGCTGGCTTCATTTTCCAGTCTTTCAGCTCCAATTAAAAATGCTGAGGCCCCCCCCCCCCTTTTTTTTTTTTTTTTAAATTTAAACAAGGGGCTTGATGCTGCTATTCAGTGTAAATGGCTGAAATTTTGATCAATTAAGGACTTGCTGGTAATTTGTTTGGGGAAAACCCTTTTCTGCCTCTTCAAAACAAACTTTGGTGATGCCCTCAGCAATGCACCATGCACTGGTGCATCCATAAATCCAGGTAAAAAATTGACAGCACTAAAGTATTGTACTTAAAATCCAGTTTGGAACACTCCAAGTGGCTGTGGTGTAGGAGGTGGCCAGCCATCCCTCTTCCTGCTGTAGCAGTTTTTTTTCTTTAAATGGCAGAAACACAGTCCAAAAAGATGCATTACAGAAGAGATGGGGGTGGGAGGGGAAGAGCGGCAACGCGACCTAAATCTGGCTGCACGTCGCCTGGAGGGCACACGGAGCAAAGCACAGACCAAATGGAGCAAAGCATTCGGGGGATTCCTCTTCCTCCACTGCCTTGGGCTTGGCTTTGTACTAGAGCTGGTTTTAGGAGATGAGGGATACAGATCTGAGGCTCCCAGTCCCAGCTGGAGGCTGAGCCAGGGAGGAATAAGGCAGGAGAGGAGGCCCAGGGGGCTGCCTGCCCTCTCCCGCTCCCCGCGGCTGCAGATCTGCTCCGGGGGATGGAGCAGAGAGCTGGGGAGCAACAGAAAAACAAGCCTGGCTTGGTATTCCCTACTCCAGCAGTCATCCAGGGAGCAAGGAGTGCTCCATCTCGGGGGGAGCTCATGCAGCCTTTCCTCATCCTAACGCTGCAACCGGAACCTTCCAAGTGGTGCCTTTTCTCCTCCTCCTGCCCCTGTTTTCTCCTGCACAAAGGGAAAAATCCAAAAGGCTGTTGCTGGCGCTGGGGGCTGTGAACAGAATTGTCTTGTGGAGCTGGGAGGGGGATGTTTTCCCTCCACAGAGAGAAGGGAGGGGGAACTTGGGGGCTCAGCCTGGCTCCCATCCATATTCAGCTGCCTGCTTTTTTTCATAAGCACAATTGCCTCTTATGTTCATCATCATTAATTTTTTTATTTTTTTTTTAAAGCTCATTTTTCCACACAGACCCGCTTGGGTTTTCGTTTGTTTATTGGCTTTTTTCCCCCTTTTCTCTTGTCTCTCTGGTGACCCTTCCCGTTACGGTAGACTGACCCTTGGTTATCGTTGCAGAACTACGGCAGCGGCATGAGACCTCCACCCAACTCCCTAGGTCCTGGCATGCCTGGAATTAACATGTAAGGCAATCCCCAGGCAGGGAGGTCTCCCCACTGACTCGGGGCTGTCTGCAGAAAAACACAACATTTATTTTTTTTCCCCCTGTTTAATTTTGTCCCCAGGGGGCCGGGCGCCGGTAGACCGTGGCCGAACCCCAGCAGTGCTAACTCAGTGAGTATCTTGGAGTTGGTTGGGAAGTGTCCTGCAAATGGGATCATTCCCCATCTGCTGAGCCCTGCTAATGAGAGGGGGTTCCCCAGCCTCTCACTTAGGCTGCTGGGATTCCCATCCTGGCCAGGCTGAGGGGGCACTGGGGGTGTTAGCTGTGCCCTGATGGGATCCTGATGGCTGAACCTGTCTCTCTCACCCCTACAGATCCCATACTCTTCTTCATCGCCTGGTACATACGTGGTGAGTCCTCCTGCCCCAACTGTCTGTCCTTCCATCAGGAGTTCATGTGTTTTGGGGGGAATCAGTGCCATGGGAGGTGACTCAGCTGGGTTTGAGGGTTGGGGGTGGTGCTTGAAAACAGGGAAAGGTGGGCAATGCTCATGTTTGCACATCTTTCCACAGGGTCCGCCCGGCGGCGGTGGCCCTCCAGGGACACCCATCATGCCCAGTCCTGCAGGTACGAGCCTCCTGAGACTTCTCTCTCTCCAGGGCCATCCCTGCCTTATTGTTAATGACCAATTTTTGTGGCTTTTGGCTTTCTGGGAAGCGGGTGGCATGGGCTTCTTGACTTCAGGATTGCATTTGGGGATGTTCCTACATCCCCCTGTTTCAGGGATTCGGATGCTGTGGGGCTCAGGAAGGTGAGGAACCTTCCACCCCACCCTTCCCAGCCAGGAGTTGAATTATTTTTCACAGTTGAATTTCTGTGATTAAAAACTTTGTGGATCTTCATTAAATACAAATTAGCCAGAAAATGGTGGTAGTTAGAGGGAATTTTGGGTGATAAAATACAAAAGAATGAGTTCAAGTGGCATGAGTTTGTTTTAATTAAGAAATGAATTAATCACCCAACTTACTGGGCTTCACTGTTCCACAGATTCAACAAATTCAAGTGACAACATCTACACAATGATTAATCCAGTACCGCCCGCAGGCAGTCGATCGAATGTAAGTCTGCTTTCTAATAATTTACATATCAGATACCATAACAAATCATAATTAACTTCATCAGTTGAGAGTAAAGCAGTTTAATTGATTTCAGCCATTTGTTACAAAACAGAAATAAAACAAACCATCAAAAAGCGATTAACTCTTGGGCGACTTTGTTAATTTTTTATGGTTATTAAGAGAGCGGCAGTCCTGCTGCTCCGGCCGAGGTGCTGGGTTTTGTGGGATATGGGCAACCTTAAATCCTGTGGGATGCTGGTTGGAATTCTGTGCTGCAGCTCTGGGTCTGCCATCCAGCCACATTTTCTAGCTGAACCCACAGGACCATAACACTCGCAGCCTCGAGGGGTGATGCAGCCCCAGGTTGTGCCAGGGAATGTTTAGATTGGATGTTCAGAAAACTTCTTTCCATGGAAGGGGTTGCCAAGCGTTGGAATGTGCTGCCCAGGGCAGTGGTGGAGTCACCATCCCTGGAAGTGTCCAAGAAATGTGTGGATCTGGCACTTCAGAGTATGGTTTAGCGGTGGTGCTGAGCTGACTGTTGGACTTGGTGATCTCAAAGGACTTTTTCAACCTCAACAGTTCAGTGATTCTACAATACCTCCCCTCTTGCCCTGCTCCAGAGAGATGGCAGGGGCAGGGACAGTGCTCAGGAGCCACTGTGGCAGCTGCTTGGGGTTGTTCTGTGGCTGATTTTTGGTTATGTCACCTTTTTCTTGTGCAGTTCCCGATGGGCCCCGGCTCTGACGGCCCCATGGGCGGTATGGGTGGCATGGAGCCCCATCACATGAACGGATCGTTAGGTGAGCCATGATGGTCCTTCATTCCCTGGGGACACTGGCAGAGCATCCCAGTGCCTGCTCCCATCCTGGGGTCAGCCCCCAGAACACACCAGTGCTCAAAGCAGAGCCTTTGGGTGGAAATCAGCGGGGCTGTGGGGGACAAGGAGCCATGGCTGCAGGCCCAGTAAGGCTCTTCTCCTTTTCTCTCCCCTCTCTGCAGGGTCAGGAGACATAGATGGACTTCCAAAAGTAAGTGGGGTTGGTTGCAGGGTGGGTGTGTGGGCTCTCCCCTTTCCACTGGGGTGCTGCTGTCACCCTGATGGATGGGGACACGGGGAATGTGACATGGGGTGGGCAGGGCTGGGTCCTGCCCCACGGCATTGTCCTGCCCCCATGGCGTTTCGGTGGGATTGTGGGGACCTGCTCACCACCTCCCCTCCCGTCTCCCACAGAATTCTCCAAACAACATAAGTGGCATTAGCAATCCCCCGGGCACTCCAAGAGACGACGGGGAGCTGGGAGGCAACTTTCTCCATTCCTTCCAAAATGACAATGTGAGTGAGTGCCTGCCCGGGGATGGGGGAACGGTCCCCGAAGTGCCCAGCACTGGTGTGGGTGGGCATGGCACTGGTGTGGGTGCCTTTTGGACTTGGGTTGTGCCCTGTGCTCCAGGACAGAAAAGTGGGCAGGGGGAAATAAGACAGTGGGTGGAAGCTTGGGGTCGGTGGTGGGATGGGGGTGCACAGGTGGAGAGGAGCTGGTGTAGAGGTGGCTGCGCTGGCCTGGCTGATTTGAGACTCCGTGGGTGGCTGCAGACATCCCTCCTCTTCCTCCCTCTGTTAGCAGCATATACACGTGCATGTTAATTATTTGTTTTAAATTGCATCTCGCCCCATACTGTTCTGCTGATTTTCTTCCCGGAAAAGCAAGTTACAGCGCAGATTAGGCCCTGATAAATGGGAGTCTCCAGCATATCCTCTCTTCCTGGTTTATTAGATCCAATTAGGTTGCTGTGTAGTTGCCATCAGCCTCCTTTTGCATCCCTCTCTTGGATGTCCAAGGGTCTGACCCGCCTGGTTTCTCACCGTGGCTCTGTCTCTCTTGCAGTATTCCCCCAGCATGACGATGAGTGTGTGATTTCCCTCCCCCTCCTCCTCTCCAGGATCAAGAGAGTCAGCTGCCGTTCGGAGGATCTCAACGAATTATGCAAGAAGAAGAAGAAGAAGCTAGGTGTATGGGCAGGGACACGCGTGGCGGGGGCCAAAACCCCAGGTTTAGTTTCATGCAATAAAAAGGCTGAACTTTTTATTCCATAAAACATGAAGGACAAAACTTAAAATATTTCAAGACATGACAAGACCCTTCTTTGTGCAGAAGGGTTTATATATGTACATGACACTTCTTTTTGGAAACAAACGGAAGCCTCTAGCACCCAACTCCGATCTCTTTGCTTTGTTCTTTTAAATAAAGACAGAAACCGAACCTGTTGTATGTTTGTGCCGTGCGACACCAGGAAGCTAGTCTAGATATAAAATCATGTTGTCTCTGTTGTAGTCATTTTTTTAAATAAACTGGACAGTTTACAATGGTGGTTTTCGTTCAGAAGGCCTGTTTTTCTTTTTTTTTTTTCTTTTGGTTTTTTTTTTCTTTTGGTTTTTTTTTTCCCTTGTATTTTTTGGGGTTTTTTTTTTGTTCGTTTGCAGCACAACGCTTCCTCCTCCAGTTAACAAGATCTGCTTTGGGGAAGAGACTCCACCACCTCGTTACAAACTTGTTAACGCAGGTGACCCCTTCTAGGATCACATCCTCGAATGAATCGTGATCTTGCTCTCTGTGACTGTGGCATGCACTGTGTTAGTCTTTCCCCCCCCCTCTGAGTACAAGAAGAAATCTCTTGTCCTTCCCTTCCCCAGAGTCCTTCAGCTGGTTCACTGCAAAAATTGATTTTTTTAATAATTTTTTTTTTAAAATCCACTGAAAAAAAAGAAAGGGTTAATCTGACCTGGGACTTTGAAACTGTGATCTCCAGCTAACTTTGGGATTTTCTGGGGGTTCTATTTGCTTTGGGGGTATTTTGCAGGGGGGGGGGTTTCTTTTCTTTAGAGATGTGCTCTTGTCAGGATTTCACTTATCTATGATTTGGAACTGGATGGAGATATTTTTTAAGGAATTCTTGTTGTTAAAATGTAACCTTGCTATTCTGTAGGCTCGCTCTGTAATAAGAAAATAAAAATTAATGGCAAGCATCGAAGGCCCTTCCTTCTGGTGGGAGAGGAAGGGACGAGCCAAGGCGGCGGGTTGGGATCTCTGTACATGACACTACCCTGTAGTTTGGTCTTGGTTTTTCTCCAGCTCCCATTTCTGCTCCATGTATATCATATTCTGTAAAATATTCTCTCCCTTGGATTTGACCTTTGTGCGGATTATTGAAAGCATTGTATCTTGTTTCAGTGTTTTTTCTTACCTTGTAGTCTGGTTCGAAAATTACCGAGAGGGGAAAAAAAAAAAAATTATTATACATTGTAGTTTGTGTACGATATTTGTTGATAATGTTTTATTAAAGGGATGTCTTTTTTCCGCACCCCTTCATTGAAATGATTTTGGGGGACATTTGGCTTGTTTTTATTCTGACTGCAAGACATGAGATGATGAAACAACTTTTTTTTTTTAGTGTGTAATATGAATAATTTTTTTTTTTTTTTTTAATGTTTGCCTTCTTTTTCCTAGGCATCTTCATTCTGCTTTACCTGTAGAAAGTCGGGAGGGGAGGGAGGG